TTATGTAGCAAAGATGCTTCCAATTTATTATTTATTTAAAAATCCAATTTGTTACTGGTTATTCTTTTTTATTGCCGTTTGTAGAAAAAATATTGTATGATATTTGTGTTAAAAATATTTTTAAGGCACTTATGTGAATTGCAGAATTCGCTTCGCTCATTCTGCAAACTTTCACATGCGTGCCTCAAAAATGTACTTTTAACACTTATATCATAAATAACTATTCTTTTTTTTGCGGAAATTCGGAGTATTATTCTGTTTCACATAAACAGGGTTGTAGTTTGGACCAACACAAATAATTTTGAACATTCATCCGTCGAATTTTTTTTTTAACAGTGTAGCTACAGGCGTATTTCCAACTATTCTTGCAGTAGCGAGAAAACTACAAGTTCAAAAAATTTGAAAAAAATATATGTCGTGTAGAATTGCAATAGTAGTTCGTAATAAAAATAACGGGAAACTTCATCTATTCATTTTGAAATAAATGGTGAAAAACCACTTTTTTTTCAGTTTTTGCGATATAACTAAAAAATGGCGAGTCAAATTTGCTTAAAAAAATTATGGATTAAAGTATATCAATAACCATAAAACATAAATTTTTTTTGGAATTTTAGAACACAAGGTTCAGAAAATGGGGGTTGACTTTAAACCTTAAAATTTACTACTATTTTTAGTAGATTAAAGGCTACTTTTTACCAGTAGCTATGGAAAAAAATATAAAAGACATAAAAATTAAGGCAAAATAAAAAATAGAATAAAAATGAAGTAAAATTAAATTTAAAAAGACAACATGGAATATACCCAGATGGGTGGTTTTAAACGAACAAAGGAACAAAGAATTCGCCTGTGGTAACCACGTCGAATATAATAGTTATTTATTATACAAGGGAAAAAAGTAGATTTTAGCGCGAGGTGTGGTTTGTCACAGCGAGCGCTAAAATCTTACTTTTTTCCCATGTATATAATACACTATTTTTTTCTGTGACGGGAAAATCTCAACATTTTCCATCTATACATTAATCCCTTTGAGAAAAAAATGACTGGTACCTGTTACTTTTTTCCCGTGGGAAAAAAAAATCACTTGTTTCCCATGGGAGAAAAAGTGACATTATTGCCCCTGTCAACAGGTACAAAAAGTCTACTTTTTTCCCGTCATAGAAAAAAAGATTTTTTTACAAATTAAAAAACTATCTACTGACAACCGTTAAATTTTAAAAATTGATTGTGTCTCCATCTAATTTCATGATACAAAACTATCAAAAACCATAGGTACATGAAATTAGATGGAGATACAATCAATTTTTAAAGGACCACGCACGGATCTTTTGAGAAAAAATAAATTTCACGATTGTCATGAAATTGAAGTATGTTATGCTTCTCGACCTTCTGAACGTAAGTTCTCGTAGGTCCAAAAAGATCCTATGATTAGTTTCGGGGAGATTATTTATTGTGGCTCTCGTACCACAGTCCGGGCGGTTAAGCCAAGACTCCCCGCATGAATGTCTGCGAGACAGGACCATGATCATCATCCATGCATGGTATATCAGTTTGAGGGCAATTGAGGTTGCCCAACAAACTGGTATGGTTTTGCTCCAGTTCAAGCCTTTAACCACGACACGATAGTTCGGCTGAGCTTGAGTCATTCCTAGCTTCATCCGCTGTCTACGATTCATTGAGAAGGATCGGGATCAGTAGATTACTATGCCCCCTTACCAGCGACAAGGTCCTATGACTCCACAAGGGGGTAGTTAAATGGTGTGTGCTGAGAAGAATCTCCAAAGAGGTGACTCGGGTAAGCATATTATACATGCAGCGATAGTCAGGCAGCTCCTTTGCTCAGACAAGAACAACTCAAGCACATGCTTGACTATATGACTACCCTAGAACTACTCAGTGGGCTCAACAATGTCACTTTTGTTTGGGTCGTGGGTCACAGGGGCATAAAAGACAACGAGGAGAGGGGCCAGCTGCCTCGCAAAGGTAGCAACACTGCCTTTGTTAGGCCAGAGCCTGCACTTGGCGTTGCTTCCTGCCTGGTGAAAACCAAGATCACGAACTGTTCCAACAACCAGATCAAAAAGGACTTAACATACGTTTTGTTAGGGTAGTGCGCGATGCACAACTCACATTATGTCGAACGCTGCGCACGTCTGCTGAAGTCAACCGAGTGTAAATTATATCCGGTTTATTGGTTTTGCACAGGTGACCGCGACGTACAGCGTCAGCAGTGTGTCAGCGTCGTGCTGAACAGATTCTGCCGACGTTTACGTTGTGAGTTGTGCGCCACGCACCGTCCTAACAAGCCGTACCTTAAGACTGTCAAGGATCTTTATACAAGGTCCCTCAAACAGCAAAGAGGCAAAAAGCCTCCTAAAACTAAACAGGAGCCAAGTAAGAGCCATCACAGGCTTCCTGATGGGAAATTGGGTGGTCCTATACCACATGCACAAAGTCGGACTAAGTGATGAGATGGAATTCAGGTTCTGCAGCGAAGTAGATGAAACTACTAAGTAAATAGTCTGCCAATGTGACGCCCTCATCAGTCGCAGACTACGATACCTTGGGCACAGATTTCTGGAACCTGATGAAATAAAGCATGTTCGATCTGAGTGGTTCTGCACCCTTCTTCAAAATTGCGGGCCGCTAAGGTAAGACAGGGAGGGGGATAGTAGAATGGGGCACATGCACGTCTACGTGCTGCCTGTAAAAGCTCCCCTTTCAACTTAACCAATCAGAGTTTGTTTTTTGGGACAATGGTTCATGCAGTATCTACTTCGTATGATGAGTTACTGCAGCTCTATCCATGTCTTGAAGAAGAACAGGTAAATGATCAGTAGCTACAGCTATTAGAGAGCTGTTCCAAAATTAGACTAGTTGAAATAAGACTATCGGTTCTCCACGAGTTCCCTAGTATGGGAAATATTGACAAGCAGACCAATTCTACTTCTTCTATTAGCCACTAGTCCATCTTTGGACATAGGCATCTGCCAATTTTCGCCACTTACCTCCGTTTTGCGCCAGAAGTTCCCATCCTCTCAAAATCATCTTGCTCGTTTACCTAGATATAATATCCATTGTTAAATGATCACGCTCCATGTTTTGTCGTTCTGCCTGATTGCATTGCCCGCAAAACTCCACATAAGATTTGCTACTTTGGTTCCAACAATTGGTTCACCCTTATCCAGGTGTTCCTTTTTTTGTCCGTAAGTTCAATTCCCAACATTTCTCTTTGCCCTTTGAGTCTTTTGACAATTGCTCTATGTTGGCCTTTATAAATAAAAGTCCATGAAGATCCTGATTTTGAACTTCATTCTCAAGTATTAGGATCTTTTTCGGATTTCGGAACCCATGACAATTTTTCAAAACAGCCACAAAAGAATATACTGCCAACTAAGGCCTAAACTAATAATACACCATTATTTCTTTTTAATTGATATATTTTTTTTCCATTTGACTATGGTACTCCATGGTTGTAGCAATTTGAAAATGCGTCACTAGGTGAGTGCTTGCTGATTTAGTTCTAGTGAATTTATTTGTTTGAGTTTTAAATGTTTTTTTTTAAATGTAAAATTGTAATTATTTTTAATGTTTTAATGATCTGATGATATTTTTTGTAATTTTTTTGTAAATGTATTTTTTTTTTTTCCAATATCTTGAATAATTTGCTTTGTATGATTGTTTAATTGATCGTGTTAATGACTGCAATTGTAATTTTGTTTTTTTGTTGTTGTAGTCCTGATGAAGCATTTAAATAAACACGAAATGTCGAGATAGTGGGATATTCAGTCTTTTATTTTTTGTCCTATTAACCGACGATCCCAACTACTAATTACATTTGAAGGGCACGAACTACCAACTAACCATAGAGGAATATTAGGAATGAAACATGATGCTGCAGAAAGATTAAGCTCCTTAAAATGAAGCTGGGCCAATCATGTAGCTAGGAATAATGAATAATCGAGCCATTATGTGACCAGAACGTGCCTTAGAAGTGAAAGAAGTGTGCGAAGACCTGTCTTAAATTGATACCAGGAAGCTCAAGCTCAGAACAGAACCAAATGAAAAACGCGAAAGAGTACACACATCAAAATAAAACTCGGCTCATTAATAGTATATTACATACCGAGGTGGAAAGTGTTTCATTACTGTCGAGAGATTTTAGTTAGCCGAGGCACAGCCGAGGTCTAACTAAAATCTCGAGACAGTAATGAAACTTTTCACCGAGGTATGTATACTATTTTATTTACAATCATTCGAATTTTGAAATTTTTATTTGAATTAAAACTAAAAAATACAATAATTGACAATTTCATTTACTTTCGGCCCACGGGCCGAAAGTAAAAGTCAAAAAATACAATAAATTTTAAAAATTTCATTTACTTTCGGCCCACAGGTCGAAAGTAAACTTTCGACCCGTGGGCCGAAAGTAAAAGTCAAAAAAGTGACATTTTCGAACTTTTTAAAAGTCAGTAAAGTCAACATTACATGTATGATTGTAAATAAAATCCTTTTCTACCGCCTCGGCTTCCAAATTTCATCCTCGGCCGTTTTTTGATAGTGACAGTGTACACAATTTCACGACTTTTCATGAAGTAGTTTAAGCGTGATGCGTGCACGACTGGACATATTTTCAATTTTATAGGTATAGATAAATTTTAAATGACACCTTAATTATTGTTGTAGGTAGTAAGAAACTTGCTATTTTGTCATGTCTCGTAAATTTGTAATATTCAAATGTAATATCAATTTCTGTCGAATAAAGCCTAATTTTGAGGTAGGTAATATACTACTGTACGCATTCATTATTTACACACATTTTGTTCGATATTACTCTATTATATAAACTGATAATTCCAAAAGGACGTAATGCACTTAAAAAGTTCCATTCTGCTTGATCTAACAACTCATCACTAAAATGACATATGGGATTTTCCACGTTATCGATTGATTATCTATTTGTGTTGATAATGACGGGCCCACAAATTCGTATGTATGTTAATGCGTTTGCTTCCTATTTCCATTAGCGAACGCTTCACCTTGCTACATTCTGTGAAGGTATTGTGCGAGTAGGTGATAATTGAAAATAAGTCCAGAATGCTTACAGTGCCACAAAATCGCGAAAAAGAGTTTGATGGTTTAGAAAACATCAATAAATGGTCGAAAAATATCGAAGGCGTTTTTATGCCAAAGAAATTTATGGAAATACATAAGAAAGTTGATGAGTGGAAGGTTAACGAAAACGATGTTTGGATTGTTAGTTTTCCAAAAACTGGTAAGTATACCTAGAAAAACTTTATAATTATTATAATTTGAAAGCTAGAAATTTGGGATCGTTTCCTATACATATACCTACTTCCATATGTAAATATATTCATTTTTCAACTCTGTGAATTGTTAGTTCCTTAAAAAACTGCTATTCATATTATGAGCCTTTTATTTACTAGCTGAAGTTTTTTTTTAGGTACAACATGGACACAAGAGATGGTTTGGCTTCTCCTAAATGACCTAAATTATAAAGCAGCAGAGAAAAATTTAATCAAAAGATCGCCACAATTAGAGTAAGTGAAGGCCAGTAGCAACTTAGGTTTATGTCAATAAATACTTTATCATAAGGTTAGTTCAGTACAAACAAATCCGATGCAGTTGAAGTGCTTTTTTGTAATATCGCGTACACTAAAAATAACAAATGATCGTAACTACTTATAGAGTATTTAACCTTGCGACAACACATCGTTTGTGTCTATCTGAAAATGATGGGATACCTTCCAAATAAATATACTGTAGGTATTAAGTTTGACTATTCTTCCTTTTTAGAGCGACTGCTATGGTAAGAACACCATACCTGAATGTATTTTCCCCGGTAATACCACATGCCATAAGAAACTCTCTGAAATATGTTAAAAATAAAAAAAGTCCAGCTTGCATAAAAACCCATCTGCCATTGAATCTGCTGCCTAAAGAACTGAAAATGGGAATTAAAAAACCAAAGGTAACATTTATTTCCAGAAAAAATTAAAATTATTGTTTTTGAGGTACGAGTATTACATATTTATTTTCAGATAATTTATATTTCTAGAAATCCTAAAGATACCTGCATTTCTTATTACTACTTTTCAAAATTAATCAAGGAATTTGATGGAAGCTTGAATGAATTTTGCAATTTATTTCTTGCTGGAAATGGTAAGTCAGCGATATTTGAATCTATAATATCGTTTTAATCACATAATTGCCGTTTTATACAAGATATGTTACGTAGGTAATAATATTCATACACCAAGTGAGTTAATTGAATAAACATTTTTTAACTCGCGTGGTGTAGATACCTATACAAAAATTTTTTTCGCTATAATCATATGTCAATTCACTTCAGCGAACTCCATTTTGAGCAGCTTGTCTCCAGTGCAATCCTGCACTTATTTGAGGTCGTCGCTCCCATCTGTCGACTGCCTCTTGATTTGTGTTACTGTGAGTCACAAGTATAGATATTAGTTCTGAGATACATATGCCGACTTTTTCTTTTGCAAGATGTGAAACTGGATTTCATTTGGTTGACATTTGATGCTATGTCCTCTCAACTTGATTCTTTTATCCAAATATTCTCTTTCTGTCAAACAGACTGGTTCAGCATTATCCGATCCATGGCACTTTGAGTCTTGTCTATAGTTTGTCGACTCTATTTTTTGTGAATGTTTACGTCTCAACCCTGATACAAGTATCATATTGGTTCAAAACTCTGCTGCTGCAAGTGGAATCTTTTGGGAAACTTGACGAAGCCTGCTCATAATAGCTTTGATTTTTGCGGAATCTTCGCTGTATGGTTTCCTTTATAAGTTTCAAAGAGATATTTTCAATGGTGACTCTTCTTTCTTCTTTGGCGATATTTGTCGGCAGTCGTTTATCTGGAGGAAGGTGGTCGGTGATGCTGCGATGGATAACAAAAATTTGACATTCAATAACTTTTGGTTTATTGTCAAAAGGTCAGAAGGTTTCGACAGTCTCTAATCTACAGTCGTCATTTCATTTTTGTTAGATTTATGTAAATTATTGTTTACTTTTCTTTTGCTCTATAGCTGGAGCTCTTTTGTCCCAGCTGGACTCCCGAGTCAATCCCTTAGTCTATTTGACATACAAGAATGTCTTCCATTTCTGCTTCTTGGCATCAGTCGATGTTTCTGAGATCAAAGAAACCCGTATAACCTTCCATTGACATATTCAATATACTATTACTCCACCTCAACGATAGGGGTTTTCGTGCGCTTGGAGATGCAATAAATAATTCCTTTGACAAGAGTATATTTCCTAATATCCGTAAGCATGCAGTGGTGGAACCTCTTTACAAAGGAGGAAACTCAGACTCGCCAGCAAATTTCCGTCCTATTTCTCTAATTCCTTCACTTGGTAAGCTGATTGAGAAACTGGTCAAAATTAGATTTCTTTCATTCCTCAATCTAGACGTAGACAGGTCCCTGTCCGATAATTAATTTGGATTCCAGTGTGGCAAAGGAACATCTGATGCGATATTCTCCCTTCTGGAAGATATCTATTTGAGTACAAATGAGAATCACCTTTCAGCAGCGGTGTTTCATGACTTGTCGAAGGCTTTCAACTGTGTCAATCATTTTGTGTTGCTCCGTAAACTTGAAGTGTATGGTTTTTGAGGTGTGACTCTAAATTGGTTTCAGTCGTATTTAAGTTCATATCGTCAGCAGGTCGTTTCATATAGGGGCGTGTTTTCGGATAAAATGAGCAACAACTGCGGTGTGCCTCAGGTCTCTATGCTTGACACCCTTTTGTTCTTGATCTATATTGATGATCTAGCCTCTCTTAGGGTCGGGGGAAGTACTTTTCGCTGACGACACGTCCATTGTCTTGCATGCGGACAGTGGAGAATTCTTGAAATGAATGATTAATATCGATTTGAAAAAAAAAGTGGTGCGTCAGCAACAATCTATCCTTCAACATGTCTAAGACCACTATGTTAAACTTCAAGTGCTCATTATCCAATATCCCCACATTTTGGAGTTACAGTGGACGAGAGTCTCAAGTTTGAGCAGCATATTAGGGAGTTTTTAAGCCACCTATTTAACGTTCAATTCACGTTATCGGTTATTCTGCACATGCGCAGAAACGAAAAAATAACCGGTCACGCTATTAAGCGATAACGTTTCACGTTAGTTGCGGGCCTATTACGTTCGTTTAATAACCGGAAATAAACTGTGCAAGGTTGCCGCCAATTATTTTTCTATGTTCATATTTAAGTATCAAAATAAAATTTAAACATCAATTCTACAAACATATGTTTCCCTGGGTGTGAATTCATGTTACTAAAGACTTTTTAAACCAAAATAGTTGACAAATCCGGTAATAAATAGATTAATCTGGCATCATGGCGGATCCTGTGTGTATTTTTGAAAACGCCTCAAACTCACTTGTCTCTTGTCTGTCATTCTAACACATACATTTGTTTATGTTTATCTCTTTGACTTTGCCCCATGTGCTAATTTTCTATTTTGAGGATTTGCAATTTGTATTTCGTGGACTTGTTTTTAATTTGTATTTGTGAATTATTAGTTTTTATTATTTGCTAATTTGTTCTTATCAATGATGGATCAAATTACAAAAAAACGGCTGCTTTTCACGGATCATGATGATCTCAGTCTCTTAAGAGAGGTTTTGGGACAGAACCCCATTGATAATCCAGCAGCATGGAACATAATTCAAGAGAATATGCTGTCTCTGACGAAAAAACACTTTCTTGTAAGAACCCTAAAAGAACATTTGGAGTTACTGGTGAAGTTGTGGCTGAAGGAGTTCAAAAATTTGAAAAACCTGTAAGTACCTAAACGTTTTTGTGTTTTTGCGCTGTTTGTTTTTATTACATCATTAAATTTTGGGATTCTAATCTAAATTTTTCTCCTAGATCCGGGATAGAAGTTATCCAGACAGAAAAGGAGGTTTTATGTCAAAACGTTCATGAGCTGATGTGTGGGAAAGAAAATCAAAAACATCAGAAACGAAACATCCTTGTATCCAAAAACAAGGGTGTAAAAGCACGTGGCCGTTGTGCTTCTACATCAGTTGATTTAAGCCAAGAAGTGGGAATACCAGATATTCGACCAGATAGTTATGGTTGTAAGTATATACTTAATTGAAAAATTTTCAGTCAATATTGAAAGAGTGATCAAAAGGTTTTTGTATCTCTCAATCTCAGTCAATCCTTGAACGTGCACACAGCATTCAACCCCAAATATTCAAAGAGTCTGTGTGCTTCAAAACTAAGCCAAATGAACCTTATTTAACTAAGTACTGTGAATTCTATGTTAGTTTCTAAACTTCAATTTTTTAGCCGTAGTAGAGGCTTCCCAGCATTTGGAAAAAAAAGAGGAAATTCCGAATGAGCAGGACTATTCGTTTTTTTGCCAAAGCGAAAACGTTGAAGGTATTGAAAATGAAAATACTCAAGAAAATGGTAATATAAATTTGGAAATCTCTTCTACTTACAAATGGGAAATTTTAAATATGGTAATTTTTAGGGCCGACCCCATTACCAACAATGGAACCCCCTGTTTTGAAAACCCATTCGATTACTCCTAAGCCATCCAGAGTGCTAGGTAAATAATGTACTTAATATTCTTCTCTTCTAACTATCTGTATTGATTTTTTTTTTTCAAAGCTCCTATAAGATCGAGAAAAAGAAAAGCCAATACTCAGAGGCAAGGATTGGCTTACTTGGAGGCATACGATGCAAACCAAGGGGCAACAAAAAAAAAGGAAATGGAATTGGAAGAGAAGAGATTGGTGCTAGAAGAGAGGAAATTGGCCATAGAGGAGAGGAAAATAGCTCTCCTTGAAAAACAAATGTCCACCGCTGACAATCACACAAGAATGCTTATTGAGTTGGCAGACAAGAAGTTGACTGCAGAAATTGACCAAAGACAGCAGTTAGCAGACGTAATTCAAAAGCAGGACGATGTGATAAAGTATTTTTTAAACAAAAATTGTGGCTGATTTTTTCCAGTACATACATTGGGTTAAAAATTAATAAAATTTGTATCGAGTTGTTTTTGTTTATATTGCAGTTTTGTAATTTATGTAGTTTTATTAAATAGTTTACAATAAATACGAAAAAAAAAACATTTAGTTTTATTTTCATATTAATCTTATAAATTACATGTTTACATTAAGGTATACTTCTAAAGGAACAGGATTTATGTTAAAAAATATAGAAGTTTGATTACCATAAAGGCAACTGTAGCAGTTTTTTAAAATAGCAGCAGTCTTGTACATAGATTCAATATCCTGTAATAGGAGTTTTTGATTCTTCTTAAAATCCAGAAACGCAAATTCTGCGATTATTTTGCCAAAACTCCATTCTACAGCTTCTCTTACTACTGACATTGAAGCATTAAAGTTTTGTTGTTCTTGATTGATGCCATGACCAGGATATGGACTTAAGAGCAATTCTCGGATACCATAAGCCTGGTCACCATAAATTACAAAATGGTTTCCATCAGGAAATCTTACTTTTCCTTCTAATTGTTCATAAATGCCAGATTCTCTGAAAATGCCTGCATCGTGCCTTCTTCCTTCAAAGGCCCCAAGCTCGCTTACAGTGATACCATCTGGGGTAACTATAGACTGATATTTCACACAGTGTAGTCGTTTGTGACCTGAATAATAGTTCTCTTGTTCAATTGAAGGGCGACAGATAGGCCTTACTGTACCATCAATAAAGCCCCAACAATTAGGCACCATTGCCCCTCTGGCAGCAATAGCCTAAAAATCAAGTAAGTATGTCCATAAAAATATTTCTGCTATGTTCATCCACTAACCAGTGCATATTGTTGGAGCCTGTCTTGATCTAACCACTGAAGATTATTTAGATCCTCCACAAGATGTCTAAACTGGTCACATATTATGTGTGTATTCACATAATTTATTATCTCTGAAAGGGCTGAATTAGACCTTTCAAAAACATATTGTAGGTCGCATAGGCGATTAGGATATGCTAATCGTCTTAGCAACATGCATAAACCCTCGATGCCTGAAATGGAAAAAGTTAATTTGCAATTACCTAATTAAACAAAAATTAAACCTATTTATTTACCAGTTGCTTGATATCCAGATTGTGTGACAATTCGCTCTGGTATACGTAAAGCTCGGCATAGCCTCGGTTTACAAAATCTGAAGTTAACTTTCGCTTCTCTGGCCTCCATATCTTCCAAATCAAAAGCTGGTCGCAGAGGGAAGTCTTCTCCTTCCTCTCCCTGAGGATTATCAAATATGTCATGCAAAATTATGCCCCTGATCAAATTATGATCGATTCCATGAGGATTTCTGCGATTGATCACATATTGTAAAATATGATCCATTATTATTTTTATTATCGAACAAAAATTATTCGGACACCAAAAAAACAATGACCATAACCTCTACTTTCAAAAAAGTAAACAAAATAGAGTGAAGGGATACGTTATTCACGCAGTATTTAGAAGGCTTAAAAAGTACTTTCTTTTCACAAATCCTTATTTACGGAATGCTACACTGCGCATGTGCACAATAACCGATAACGTTAATAAGCGTACGTTAAATAATGGGTTCAAAAACTCCCTAATGTGACACTCTTTAGTACGTTATCTTCCAGCCGTTACGCTTTGAGAGTACTCTCAGAACAGTTAAGGTACGGTTTGTTAGAATAGTACGCGACGCACAACTGACACCGTAAACGTCGTCATTGGTTCAGGGCCGGTATTCTCATCCTCTAAAATGCTCACCGCTTTTTAGTCGCTCGGCACTTTCAATGTGAATTCACATTGAAAGTGCCGAGCGACTAAAAAGCGGTGAGCGTTTTTGAGAACGAGAATACCGGTCCAGGTATGACGTACACTCGTTTTGTGACGCTGACGCTGACGTCAGAAAACGGCAGGTCTATTCTCTACGAACAGCAATTACATAGCAACCAGCAACCGGTCGCAAGTTGCTTTTTTTGAATAGAAAACTCACGTTTGACATCGACTTGACAGCGACAATTGCGCAATTCTCTGCGGTCGCAAGTTACAGAATAGGGCTACGGGTGTACATCATACCTGAACCAAAAACGACGTTTACGTTGTCAGTTGTGCGTCGCGTACTATCCTAAAAAAACGTACCTTTAGAGCTGCGAGCTCTCAGGACCGCATATTTTTCTGTGGTGGAGACAAATTACTTATAGAATTGCGTTTTGGGGCTGTTGCAGTACTACCAATTTCAACTTCATATTTTTTTCACAAAAAAGAGCCCTTAGGTTCATGCTTAGAGATCCTTTCCGATAATCTTGCAAATCTAGCGTCATTTCTCATAGAATTTTAATTCTGCCATGCCTATATTATCATATTTATAATCGAAAGTGTTTGCTTGGTCTATAAGAAATACTATGACCAAGTTTCTTCGGCAAGCAGGCTCCACTGCCAATTCCCAGAAGCACCTTGGTGAAGAAGTCTTTTGTTTATTTTGCCAAGAAAGCTTTCAATTTTCTACCATCTAGCATTAGGTCTTCGCGTTCATATGAGAGGTTAAGACAAGGGGTAAGAAAGTTACCTACCCTTGACTAGAGTTTACTATTATGTTAAAGAATTCATTGGAGACGCCTTGTGAACATATTTTTAACTTTAACTTAACTTATATCAATAACTTAATTTTAAATTGTTCTTATGGTTTGTTAAAGGAAAGTTTTTTCTTGACAATAAAGTACTTTTTGATTTGAGACCCTTATTTTGTCTTCATTGACAAATCAGAAACATAAAGAAATTTTATGATGTTTTCTGATATGCGGCTAATTGATATACATGTAAACTATATTATAGGTACATGATTTATAGAAAATTCAATTTATGTGTTTATCGATGTCTCCTATATTTTCAGTTAACTTCGCTCCTTTCTGGAATCACGTTCTACCATTCTGGGAGAAACGCAACGAACCCAACATCCTTTTTCTAAAATACGAAGACCTTAAGTCGGACTTACCAGCAGCTATAAGTAAAACAGCAAAATTCCTCAACAAAGATCTCACACAGGAACAATTGGGTGAACTTACAAATCATTTGAGTTTCGAAAGTATGGAACAAAATCCATCAGTAAACTACGAATGGTTAGTGAAAATGTCGCAAATGTTCAAGCCTGATAGAAAAGATAAGGATAATAAGTTTATGAGACAAGGTAAAGTTGGCGGATATAAGGAAGCTATGGCACCAACTATGATTGAAAGATTTGATAATTGGACAGAAAAAAATACCACAGGTACTGGTCTAACATATTTATAAAACAAAATGTACTATCTATTTTCGAATGAAACTCTGTAGAAATGTTATGAAATATTATAAATTGCAAATAAATATAGTATATAAGATAATGTGAGTGTTCGCGTGAAACAAAATAAATAAAAGTTAATCAAATTTCCTAGAATAAGTCAATAAACTTGTGAAAATGCAAATGAAAATCGTCACATCCTAATAAAAATATCTCCGTAAGTTCCGCTTGTCATTTAAGTATGTTTCTTTGCATAACACGACCATCAAGCAAGTCTCAAATCTCAACGTGACATCTTTTGCTGGCTTTGATTGGGCCGATTCAACACAGGTTGGTAGAGGTACCCAGAAGAAATGCTAAATCACTTCAGTCGTGGATGAATGGGACACATGTCGACTCGATAGTGCATCTGAATAATAAAGGTTCGTTAATTGTCCGTTAGCTGCCTTTGGTTGTCGCTATTGTATTCACTGGGATGGCTTAGAAGATTGGTATGGACATAATTGTTTGAAAATTATCATTATATTGAAAGCTAATACATTATTTACTATCGAGTGTAGGCACTGCCTGATATAAAAATATTCAGTCCTATGATACACTAGTCAATAGGATAAGAAAGGCAATAAACTAAAAAGTTCGCGAAACAATGTAACTGAGTAGGAAAACATAAATCAGAGGGGGAGATATGGCTTGAAGAACTAATTCCTCACATATATAAAAACAGTAAAGGAAGATATATTGTACATTTATTCGAGGAGGGTAAATTTATTTTTCCCTCTTGTGAGAATTATGAAAGATTTAATCTTTGTTTTTTTACTGATTTTGACATTTCAATTCTTATAAAGACAAAATTTTAGCAGTTAAACTGCCGGCTATACTTTAAGACAGTTAATATGCCATTCCATCTACTGCTGAAACATAAACCGTCAGAAGTTATACTATACAAGCCCACTAAACAAACCCAATTAAGTTTTTTTTTTTTTAACCGACCATATTCCTTTTGACAGGCTACCGAATAATGTACCATCACCTTTTCTTATTCCCAGATAATTCGTCCGGCTGCAACCAATTTTCACGTAACCGGCACACTTTTTTGTCCGTTTCGAAAATTGTCCGTCTACGTGCTAACAACCCGCAATTACGCGACGAAACGGCCGATAAGACCATTGTTAAGATTTTGGTTGGACCGCGTTATTGCCCCCTCCGAACAATCCGCGGCAACGCGACAAAAAAAAAACGGTTTCGTTTTAGTGTATCAAAACACGATCTGTGAGATCGAGCCAGTGAAAAATTCCTTTTGAAAAATGAGACTGAAATTTTTGTCATGCTATACAGTTGACCATTGGCAGCGAAAATAATAATTGATAAAAAAAAATTAAATATAATGCCTAAAAGAGCTAATGTTTCTGAGTAAAAAATGTGGATATACCAACAATAAGTTGTTATCACAAACGTATCATCTGCTTAAGTGAGACGTAGACCCTTGGGAAATCAGTGTATTATGTTTAACAAGTTAACTGAAACATTTCAAACTAAAACATGCCTTTTGCACGACTGTGTATGCATACTTTGCTAATTTGACATCAATAGCTAAGCCGTACTTGATACTGGTAACATTGAGATAGGTACATTTTGGACTATAACTCCAAAATTTGGCTACGGCTACAGATCAAATTTGCCTAAACTCCCTCAACCACCTTATTGAGCATCGTTGGATTTTGGCAATCCAATCTTCGGAGCTTTATTTCCGACACTCATTCCTGCGTCTCTTGGTTTAGCTCTGCGCGCCAAAATGCAATTTTACTTCTGGTTTCAGGGATACAATGTGCATAGTGTTCATAGACAGCTGCTTTTCTTTATACCTACTTGTCAGTTAATAGATCCCGAGATATTTCTATTTGCCGATGGTTCAGCTCTTTTTCGAAGTAAAAAAGAAGCTCATTTTATGCATAGAGCATTCTGAAAAGCACAAACTGTATAACAGTACATAATGTATATTGATCATTCTTTTTCGTTATATTGTACTGTTATCGTAATATAACATGCGCGAAATTGACATCGAATATATACAGGGTGTCCCAAAAAGATACCGACAAACTTTAAGGAGTAGTAGGGGACATTAAAACAAGCATTTTTGTTTATATAAACATATGTCCGCAAATGAGCCATTTGGGCTGTAGATCAAAAAAACTGTTCGGTACTTTTATTCTTTGCAATAATTAAATCACTGTTTACTCATTAATTTTGCTTTATTGACAAATAAATAATTGTTCAAAATGTTGACCATTTACTTCAATGTAAAGATTGCACCGTCGGGTCATCGGAATATTCCGGAAATAGCTTCTACATGGGTACAACTCGCCAATATCCTTGCTAACAGATTTTCGTCATTACGAACAGGTGTTTCGTAGACTAAACTTTTCAGTCAATGACCCGACGGTGCAATCTTTGAATTGAAGTAAATGGTCAACATTTTGAACAATTATTGTAAACCATAATTTATTTGTTAATAAAGCAAAATTAATAAATAAACAGTGAGTTGCGAAGAATAAAAGTACCAAACAGTTTTTTTGCTCTACAGCCCAAATTGCTCATTTGCGGACATATGTTTATATAAACAAAATTGCTTGTTTTGATGTCCCCTACTACCCCTTAAATTTTGTCGGTATCTTTTTGGGACACCCTGTATATATATATTCAACCGGCCGCCGGCCGCTATTTATTCGCCGACCGGTTAACATGGGCGTCGTTTGGGGGGGGGGGGCAAGAGGGGGTATTTGCCCCCCCTAGAAATAGTCTTTTGAACAAGAAAGCAGTAAAAGAGAGTTCGTACCGATGGTTGAGTTTCAACCTTCGGTTGAATCCTATCAATTTGCATTGAGTAAACCGAATGTTGAAACTCAACCATCGGCTCAGTGCAGGGCCGTAGCCAGGGGAGGCATTGGGGGCAATGCCCTATCTTTTAAATGATGATACCCTACCTTTAAAAATCAACATGCATTAAGGTTTCTCTAGAAAATTTAAGAGTAGATAATGCCTGAAGTAGAAAGGCCTGAAATCGAGTAAGCGAGGATGAATGTTTCCGAAAACGCCTAAGTCGCCTAAATGTAATGAACAATGTTTGACGTTTGCACAGAGGAAGTTTATTTGTTTTGAAAGAGTAAGAATGCCCAAGGCGGCCAGCGCGGGAATCAGCGCCATTTTGTTTACTTGCCAGAGATGTTATTTATTGCAAGGTTGTTTGATAGAGGCAAGAGAGGTAGGTTGCCAGGTAACTTTATGACGTCATCTAGGGTGCCTCAGCATAATGCAAATCTCTATAAGGTACCCCAGATCAGATGCGTCATCAAGTTACCCATTACCAGACAAAACTGAATCTTGATTTATTGACAAGTATGCCTTCGGCAATCGGCGCCATTAGCCCCATTTTGTTTACCAATAAAAAATTTAAGGAGGGGGCAAGTAGTGTATGCCCTATGTCAAATTTGTCATGTCCTATCATAAATTTGACTCTAGCTACGGCCCTGGTTCAGTGTTTTATAATACCGGCCATTAGACAATTACCTAAACAAATGATGCGGACAGTGAATTTGTTGCGGAAAAAAATTCCATCATTTTTAACTATCGATATCGAATAAGTAGGCACGTTAAAATGCTCAAAAAAGGGGCGTGGCACCGAAAAAAATTTCACGTATATTGCATACAAAAATTTTTCTACTACCAATCAAATGTGTGTAAAAAAATAAATTTGGACAAATACTTTATGCACTAGTGAGTGAAGAATTTTCACTTTACGCACTAGTGCCAGAAAAATGCCAAATTGACAGTGTCGACAACTGTCATTGACATTACTTTACGCACTAGTGTGTGAAGTGAATTACTTTACGCAATAGTGCGTGAAGTGAAATTTTACGGCTTCTGAATAGTGCGTAAAGTGAGTACTTTACGCACGGTAGTAGAAATAGTTATTTTCCTAACAAGTGCGCAAAGTGTTACTTTTCCGCACGCGAATACAGTTATACGAACGACGCGAAGCGGAGTTCGGATACGTGTTTGCGTGCGGAAAAGACACTTTGCGCACGTGTTAGGAACAAAATTTTTCCTACGAGCTTCATATCAGGTACGTAATAACAGAAATTTAAACAAAAAACGATAATTTGTTTAATTATTTTTAATTAACTTGAAGGGAACCTATGCATTTATCAAAAAATTACATAACAAAAAACATAAAATCCTCGTCAGAGCTGTTCATCTTAAAGCGTTTAAATTTGATGAGAAAGTTTGTAGATTTTTGCATATAAATAGAGAACAAATCTGACAATGTGTCAAAGTTAATTTATAATTGGTGTTTGTATAGATGTTGGCTGATATAGAAATAGAGGAAAAATTTGTCATCATGTGTCAAAGTCGACAGGTGCACTTATTGTTGCTTGACAATTATAATTACTTTTCGGCACTCAGTGCGGATAAGGCCTGTATCCGCACTGAGTGCGGAAAAGTGTAACTTTGAGCCCGGAAATGCGTGCGGAAAAGTACTACTTTGCGCACGCTCGTAGGAAAAAATAATTAAGATCTTATTATAAACTGGGGTGAAAATATCAAAAAACACATCAGTTTTCCAACGAACCGTGACCCACTAAACATGTGTAGACCAAGATAGAGCTATGTATATCTACAATATTAGCAATAATAAAAGGACAAATCCATGTTCCGCTACTGAAGTTTAGTATTCAATCTAGACCACTTTTTGTCAATATAAAAGATTCTTCGTCCGAAATTAGGAACCATTATGGCATCTAAAAGGCGAAACAGCCGAAATATTCATTACATTTAACCAGCTGTTAAAATTGGTAGGACAAGCGCTAAGGCAAAATTGGAATTTTTATTCTGTATTCTTCGCTTTTGATATTTGAAGAATGAGTTTGGGATGAATTCTCTGAGGATATTAAAAATTTACGGAATGAGATCTTAAAATTTATACATAAAAACTAATAAGAATTAGAATTTATGCTTTTATTTATGTTGTTCTTTTCCAAGATTCCAAGCCATTTGGGACAACCAGTCTAGCAATTATATAAAATAATGTTTTTCTAGTATCTCTCATCTAAAATTACCAGCCGTTCGTCATCACACCCATCAGCACAAATCGTATTAGGTTAGATCTTCGCGGAAAATTTGCATAGTACATCCGTCTTGTCACCAAGTGCAACTCGTAGCT